TTTTTCTCCTTTCTATTTAGTTTTCTGTAGACAAGCAATGTTTACTCTTCTTCGTCTCATTGTATCCACTAACTCCATACTTTTACTTGTAAGTGTTCTTACGTTCCATGTGGCTAAATGAATACTACTCTCTTGGACTAGCTTCTTTACTCGTGCACGTCCAAGATGTCGTGGGAACCCTTGCCTTTTTCTCAACGCAATCGGGCGGCGCTGCGGCGCGTCATTTTGGGGAATGTCCTAGCTAACCCTTGCTCATTTTTAATTGTACCCGAGATTTGGTACAACTCATCGCTTCTGGGGAACGCCCTAGCTACCCCTTGCTCATTTCTCATTGTACCCGGGTTTCGGTACAATGCATCGCTTCTGGGGAACACCCTAGCATAAGCAGATACACTAGGTCTATCAGGATTCATGATGAGTTTTGGCAAAATGTTACATTAGCTCCCTACATAGCACAACCCCTTTACCCGGGCATGAGGTGGGTTAAGGAAAAGTTTAAGGTCATCACCCTTCTTAGATCCTTCTTTTCTGGATAATATAATGTAATATATATCGGGTACGAGTATAGCTGCTGCTTGAAGATATATGTTTATTCAGCTGGGGTGGCATTACATCTAAGTTTATTCCGGATTTTTCCCACCAACCAATAAACCGGTTTGGGACAAATTGATTAAAATTATCAGAGAAGATAGTCCACCATGTGTTGCTAGATCTTTGATTTTTTATGTAAAGAATATTTTCCCATGCATCTAAATAGTCATAGTAAGAGTAATTATTGAATCCTTTGTAATTTGTTGGTGCTGGTTCAAGGAATTTTTTATTACAAAAAGGCTTTAATCCAAATTCTTCAAAAGTAATAACTTGTATATAACCATTTGAGAGTATGCATATTCTCTGTTGTCATCATAATTATTTTTAATAAAACAACTTTTAGAATCGATCAAAATCCTTTTATAAAAATGCCAATCTTTTCAAATTGTTTTTATGGAAAATTTAAAGGTTGTACCAAGATAGTGAATTGCAATTTGTTGGGCTGTTAAACTAGAATTTATGTCTGATTCTTCTAAAGTCATAATAATAGGGGTATAAATTTTTTCGTAGCGATAGCGAACCCTATTGGATTCGCCAGAATTTGCAGGACTCCTTTTTGCAAGACTCCTTTTTGCAAGACTTGAGGAGATATTGTTGTTGATCCTCTGATATGATCTAGAGGCCATTTTTTTCCTGCAAATATTCTCAAGTCAAAAAGTCATGTAGAGAATTGGATTTTCCTTTTATGAATTTTATATCAAATTAAAAAATTGATAAAATTGCTTGCCATCTAGCAAAAATCTGTTTTGAAGCTAGATGTTTTAAGTCTTTTTCGAGGACTACTATGAGTAAAAACTTTTGGATTAGAATATCACTTTGAAATAAGGTTTTTACAATTGCTAAAATTTCTTTTTTAATTGTGGAGTAGTTCTGCTGAGCTGCATTCCAAACTCCTGAACTAAATTTGATTAGTTTTTCTTTATTATTGAATTTTTGTTTTAATATACCACCATATGCCCCTTAGAGCCATCCGTTTTAATTTTTTTAGGACAAATGGATCTTGGATAACAAGGCAGGGCAGTGATTTTATTTGCTGTTTAATTCCTTTTATAGTTAAAGTCATTTTATCGTTCCATGCCAGAGGGTTCTTTCGTAATCTAACGATTAAGGTCTTTCTTTCTTGAGCTAAATTGGGATAATAATATGTTACATAATTTGCACATCCTAAGAATCTTTGAAGTTAAATTTTATTAGTAATAATATCAGGAAATTTATCAGCAACGCTTATAACTCTGTCTATAGGTGTTGTCTTTCCTTGGCTAATGTTGTTACCTAAAAACGTAATGTCAACTTGAAAAAGTTTGATTTTTCCGGCTGATTCAACTAGACCACAAAGCTTCAAAGAAAAGCTTTAAATGCTTCCATTGTTGATCTATGGATTTGGAAAATACCAAGACATCATCCATATATACAATAATAAAATTTTTATATTTAGCAAATATTTCATCCATCATTTTTTGAAATTCAGAAGGTTCATTTTTAAACTGAAGGGCAACATTCCATTCATAATGCCCTAAAGGAACCATAAAGGTTGTCTTACATATGTCTTCCTCTTTTACTTGGATTTGTTAAAATCCTGATTTCATGTCAAATTTTTTCTCATGAAGTTAATATGAAAGAAATAAAGAGATTGATTGAATTGCTTCCTTCATTTTGGGAGAAAGCTCATTAAAAACCCCAGAAAATGAGGGAATGAGCTTGTAGTGCTGTTTTGCTGCTATTAAGAAGTTGATGCTTTGTTTTATATGGTAATGCTAATTGGATTTTTTTTTTGTTTGTTTGTTATCCCAGTGTCTGCATATCTAATTTTTATTTTTTGGTAATTTTTATTTTTTGGTTTGTCATTAGTAGTTCAGTGGTCTGTATTGTGCTGTTTTTCTAGTGGCAGCCTTTCCTTTTGTGAGGGATATCTAACTGTTATGTACTATATAATAATTTGTTCATTACCATTGCAATCTATTTTAGAGGATAAATGTTTGTGGTTGTCTAAAGAAGTAAGCAGCATAAGAAGTACAGCCAATCTTGTACATTGCAATAATCACAGTCTTTGTAAGCCTTTTGTCACAAGGGTTATTTATAAGAGTAGGCTTGTTAAAGTAAACAGATCTCCTAATGTCAATGGCTCTTCCCTCTTTTAGGATGTTGAAATTCTTTTCTAAAATGTACTTTAAAAGCATTAATAATCCTACAAAATGTATTATACGTGCTTTATTGATTTTGGAAAGCATATTTCATCATTAAGCAACTCGAGGTCTGAACTGATCAAGGTATGCTGTTAATACTTAATGTATTAAGTTATTCTAAATATGAGTAATGAGGTCTAAATTGATCAGGTGATGCTATTTAGCATAAATTTCATCTCTTCCAAGGGTGAAGAAAGTAATGTTGGTCCTCTAGGTATTATTCTGATGGACGGGCCAGATTGGTTGGCGCATGCAACTATATTGAGTGTCTTAACAAGCATTTGTTCATTGAGGATGATTAAATCAATACAATGTGGTGGCTTATGAAGGAGCTTTTTATAGATTGAATTCTGTTTTCGTTGAAATTCCTGAACTTTGTTGTCATCTTGAAATGTTGTGTTGCTTTAATTTATTCTTATAGGTAAACAAGGTGTATACGATCTATCTGTTGTTTTGGGGTTATTTTCCTACTTAATTTTTAACTTGATTGAAGTCTTAGGTTAGTTTGGGTTAGTTTGTATTTGTTGTCCTCTTTCGTAGTAGTATATTTACCATTGGGGAAGGATTCTGTAGGGCATCAGTTGTGTATGATGTGTGCTGTGATACAGCGGGGGCGTCAATCATCCTTTCTTGATGATGGATGGTAGATGTATAACAGCCACACGGACATCTGATCTCCACCATCTGTCATTGAGGACAGTGGATCCCTTGGTTGCTTACTGTATGCTATCCACCATTTGTGCGTGGTAATACTTTTCCATCATCATTTTCAAATAAATTGTCTTTCTAAGAGGGCCTATTGCTTACAGAAGTTCTCCCTTGGAGATTAATAGATGAAGTCTTCTTGTTTAACCATGTCAAAGTGATATGTAGTTTTTCTACATCTTAACATGTAGGCTAGTACATGAAAACTTAAGAAGAAATGGGATTCATCATATAGATGTTTTATGCAAGCGTTTATACCCAGTTGTGTTTATACACAACCAAGACATTTTTTGTATGAGTTGCACTCAACCGTATGTTGCAGATCTTTCGTCATGGATGTGAATATGTTCTTGTTGGGAAATATATATTTGTTTTAAGTGGGATGAATGGGTGAATATTGGCCATAAACTTCTAACGTTCCAGTTAGTTTTGGTCACACATGGATAGTAATTATCATGCCTTATTGAAGAAATGTCGTTCTGTCATTTAGGTATGAACTTGAATATGCATTATTACCGTTTTAACAAACTTCACCACCTTGGCCTTTGTCACTCGGGCCTTTTAACCTGGTGTGATGAAAAATAATAACTTGTTCCTTGATGGTTGTTTGGTTTCATATGTTTGATCTAGCATAAGGCAATTCAGAGACCTCACTGTTATTGAGGAATTGTTGAGCAAAAGTGATGTGTGTTTACGTTGGTCAATTTGTTCTTTTATACCTTTCTCAATCCAAACATTGAAAGGGGTAGTACGGGAGGAACCATGTTTGAACCATCATAATTTCATTCTTTTGTTGTATGTTGTTTCAAATTAGTTGAACAAGAGGATTACCACACCCATATCCCTTTGCATGTTTCGTCAACAAGAAACTGATTTGTTTGATACTTAACAGATGTTAGTTACGTACGAACAGTTTCACTTTGCTTACCTGTTTTGCATGTAGGTGGTACAGAGTTGTGGGTATTTGAACTTCATTTTATGACCATTACTCATTTCTATTTCTAAGTATGCAATATTTGAATTGCCATGGTTTCTATATCCTGTCAATTGTGTGCCACATTATCTTTTGCTCCTATGGGGAAATGAAGTACAATGAGACTTTCAAATAGGGGTCTTTGTACTTTATGTGCTTGCAAGAGTATTCATGTGAGTGATGCTCAGTTGGGAGTTGCAGTCCATGTTTTGACCAAACTCTGCATGTCTCATGACCCTCATTTATTTTGTTAAATGACCTTAGAATTTACAGTTTTTAGAGATGTTCATGTAATTGCGTTATGTGATATTTGCAAACTTGCTTAAATTTTAGTTGATGCTTGAAAGTTCCTTTTGAGTTTTGAATAGCAACTGTACTGGAAAAAAGAGTCATGCATCGATCTGAGAGGCATGACACTGATAATGGTTTTGTGAGTGCGTGTGTGTGTGAGAGAGAGAGGGAGAGAGAGAGAGAGAGAGAGAGAGAGAGAGAGAGTAGGTTGGTAGTTAGGAATAATGGATGCAAGTTTGGATAGTAAATTTGTCTAGGGTCCCAAACCAGAGGAGCAAGCAGCAAGTGGTGCTAAACCATCTGCCACTGAGAGCAAATTAAGCGACGATGCATCGTCAACTTCAACATCAAGGGTCTCAACCGACAAGTATCGCAATTATGCCGTTCTCTCTGGTTTTATAACTGCAGTTGCTGCATTCGGGTGGTACCTCAAATCAAGTAGCAAGAAACCAGAGGAGGTCCAGGACTGAGTGCCGTTGGTGCTCTTCTCAGGGCATTCTTCACTTCTCTCTCTCTCTCTCTCTGTGGACTTACTAGAACAGCAAACTGTTTCTGATGCTCTCTACATTTTGGTACCCAAGTTTCTTTGTTCCATTTTCCAGTTTCTGATGGACTCTGTTTGATTTTCCCAGTTTTCATTTTTCCTGTTACTGGGACCTGGAATCTATGTCATTTTTGGTACGAGGTATGACAAGAATGAAAGTTTTGTTGCGCTTCCTGTACATTCCTTGACTGTTATTTTCATAAGCATTCCATGCTCGGCATTGAGATGGTCTTTCTTTCTCTCTATTATTAATTATTGTGTTAGTTTTGTATGCATCTCTCTCTCTGTCCATTAGCGTAGGTTATTTTCATACACCATCTTCCCCCAGTCACTTGATTATTATGTTATTTTCAGATGCGTATCTCTTTTTTAATATCATTCTCTTATATGCTCATTTCTTATTTCTGTATGCATCTCTCCCTCTTGAGATTTTTATATTACCATATCTCATCTATGTCTTACCATCCTTATCTAGGATGTTTCTACTCCTGTGGTGTTCTTTGCTGCTTTTTAGCCTCTCATTAGTGCTTGTTATGTTTCTTGCCATGGTCGTGGATGTTATTCCTCCGTTTTAATAACTTCGCTTTATTCCTGTACGTGGTTCGTAATCTATCCTGAATGTGGTTCATACTTGTTTCTTGGATGTAAAGTCCGAATAAAAAAAGTAGGGAAAATATCTCCATAAACCTTATTTTTAAGTTTCATTTAATTTATTTATTGTTGAAAACATTGGACACTTTTACACCCTACGTTACCCCATTTTGGCTGCATGGAACAGTTTAGTTGGTGTTCTCAAAGTCGCCTAGGCCGAGTTACTCGGGCTTGGGCCCATGACGAGTCCTAGTTGGTGTCTAATTTGGGGATACTAAAAAAGTTACAAAATAAGTGGAAAGTTCGAAAAAAAAAGAAATTTAATTGACACATATTTTATGTTCGTTATCATTTTGACAAAGATTGGAAAGTGTTTTGGCTATAAATATTTTATTTTATATTTGAAAAAAGTTTATATAAGATTGCAACTGTAGAATTACATGTGCACCTTAAAAATTCATTGGAAAATGTTGTTTTAATGTTGAAAACCCTCTAATTGATCATCTTGATATTGAGTTGTGCAAATATGGAAAAAAAGAAAGACTTTTAGTCTAAAAAATTAGTGCATCTTGCAATACATTATCTAGACCGTTCATTTTCAAGATTTTCATATATTTATAGATCTATTTGATTTTAACCATTTTTAGAGTTTAAAATATTATAATTAGATATAAAAATAGATTTTTAGGTAAGGAACCGGTTTCTATGCGGCTAAACCCCCATATGTAGAAATGTGGCCTTCTTAATAAATCTATTTTTGAGATTGATTTTAAGACTTATTTTTAAGGGCATATAATCTCCAACATGGAGATCATGACTACTCATGAATACGAATAAATAAATAAATTTTAAAAATTAAAAATAATTATTCAAGTAAGAAAACGTTTGGACCGTCAGTTTTCATTATTTTTAGATGGAACACCTACTTGCATCCATCTTTAAGATGGATGCTTTACACTTTCTGGATCGCATATGTAGCAATGTGGTCCAGCCCGCATGAAACAATTTTCCTTTAGATAATCCTAAGAATTTTTTACACCACGTTACGATAAAATTTGGAGGTGCGCCTTAATTGGATTGTTTAAAGTTGTAACCTTATAGAAATTGCACCCTTTATATTTTCCTATCCTTTTTGAATTATTTCGAAAATACTTCTAATTACAAGTTGATTTTTTTAATATCTATTTTTTTACTACTTTTTTAACCTCATTGCAGTGTGGTTTTGCTTAATCTTATTTTAAACATATATTTCCTTTTTTTTTTATAATTTGTTTAACCATTTGTATTTTGCTTCATAATTGGATCGGGCATGGGCTGAGTACTCGTTTTGAGTCACGGTTTTCAGATTTGCTTAGGAACCCTCTTTGCTTTGCAAGCAATTCGGTGTTTAATTTTTAATATAAATAAAATATATTTTATATATAAAAATAGGAAAGATTTTAAAGGATCACCGTTAAATTTGACACAAATCTTTAGAAAAGTCCTTCCCATATCCATGTGTGTAGGACCCCAAAGGATCACCATTAAATTTGGCACAGATCTTTAAAAAAATCAAGTCCCACACTCATGTAATAACTTTAATGTGTGTAGGATCCTAAATCATCATTATTAAATTTGGCACAGATCTTTAAAAAAATCAAATCCTACACCCATGTGATAACTTTTTTAGAGATATATTCCAAATTTAATGATGATCATTTAGAGTCCTACTCACATGGATGTGAGAGGGTCTCATATGATCATTATTCATAAAAATATATCAAAAGAATAAAGATAAAATACTATACAAGGCGGCTGTTGAGCTTTGCTTTGGTCTAGATCAAAAAATCGAAAAACTTCAGCCTTTTCAGCGGATGCATAGTGAATTTGAGTATATTATTTAGTATTTTCAGCCGAAGCCAAATGAATTTGACAATATTGTTCAAAGACAGATTTATATCTTCTTGGAACCCTGTAACTCATCTAAAATACCAATATACCCTTATCACCCATGAAAATACTGGAGATATATTTTAGGTATTTATAGATACATTTCTGATATCAAAATTTCAAACTCACGAAAAACAAAAGAAAAAAAAGAAGAAAAAGGAGCATGCTTTCCAAGACCGCACAAACTTAAAAAAGAAAAAAAAACCAAACTTACACCAAAAACCATGAAAGTACATCAACAATGGGGAGAATGGGCGCTTGTAGTTGCGGTCCCAAGCAGGAAATGGACTGATTTCTTCACCCGTTCCCCCAATAAAAGACAAAAATGCTCCTATCCACCATGAAAATGCTTGTGGAGAAGAGCACTTACAGAGCCAGGCGTGTATCCGGCAACATAGCTCTCGGTTTCTTGTTTCGACATCCTAGGCCTCATGAAAGGATCGCAAGAGAGGTAGAGGTTCTTCACCAGAACAGCCTAGATCCTTCTGGTACCTTCATTTTAATGGAGCTCGACACCATTTCCATGCCTCTTTCTTTGGGAAAACCAGTCACATAGTCCTTCAATATGATCTTCTTGTTACTCACTTCTACCCCGATTGCCATTTTTCTGAGAAAGAAAACCAACCTTTCTGATTACTATTCCTGTCTCTCTGCTCTCTCAATGAGAAAACCCACGTCTTGGAATCACAGCTCGATTTACTCCCTCTCTCTGAATAAGAAAACCCATGGAAAACTTCTCTCTCTCTCTAAAAAACCAGGTACACATGCAATAGAAAATGCGCATCTTTGTATCCTAATTTACACATGCAATGGAAGTAAGGCTTACCTCTATATTTTACTCGGAGATGTAGTTTTGGTGTCCAAGCATTATAATCGTTTAATAATTCATGTTCAATTCTAATTATGAAAATTAAAAATTTAAAAATATTATAAACGGAGTAAATCTATAAACCTTTGAAAATATTTTAAAAAAAAGGTACTTTGAAATTTTTTTTTTAACTTTAGATCCGTGCATCTCGATGTTGAGCCCGTCAATTGGAAAATTCTCAACTTTGAAACACTAACAGTGAAGCATTACCTTGAAAGCTCGTCTAAAAAATACTTTGGGCATGAAAAATATCTATGATGGCTTTAAAATCATTCATGCCATTGATTACAAAATTTGTAGTTTAAAAAATGATACAAATCTTGCAGATCACAAACACTTGAAAATGAATGATCTAGATAATATGTTACAATATATACCATTTTTAAGACTTGAGATCTTTTTTTTTTTTTCACAACTATAATGGTCACCATCGAGATGATCGACTTCAAGGTTTTGCGACGCGAATTGCCAGAGAATTTTTTAAGTGAGGCTTTATTTATTTTGAGCCCTAACAGCCTTTGAAGTGAGGCTTTATTTATTTTGAGCCCTAACAGCCACGCTGCTTTCATAAAAGAAGGAATAGACAAAATGCTGGGCATTTACATTACAACTGTGAAATAAGAGATGCAGATATGTGGTTGTAACCCTCCTTACAGATACCACCACTTTTAGTAAAGTAGGATAGAGACATAATGAACAGAGAACAGATGATATTGCCCAAATTGTATACCTTTTTTATAATGGATGCAGTTGGCACACGGATGCATCCGCAGCTGTAGAGGTAAGGTGCGCCCTCAAATTTTATCATGGTATATAATTTCGCAACTGTAGAGGTAAGGTGCGCCCTCAAATTTTATCATGGTATATAATTTTGATGTAAAATATTTCTAGGATTATCTCAAAATATATTCTTATATCTAATTATTAAATTTTAAATTTCAAAAAAGGCTAAAATCAAGTAGATCTATAAACATATGAAAATCTTGAAAATGGACGGTGTAGATTATATATTGTAAAATGCACTATATCTGAGACTTAAAATCTCTTTATTTTTCATGGTCATACATCTCGATGTTGAGATGATCAATCAAAGGGTTTTTCAACATTAAAACTACCTTTTCCGATGGATTTTTGAGGTGCATCCGTAGCTCTACATTATAAGCTTACAACCTTATATAAACTTTTTCCTTTTATAAAGGGTGTTGTTTATATAAGGCTGAGGCCCTAAACAATCAAAATGAGGTGTACCTTCAGTTGAAAGATGTTTCAATACTAGAAATTTTGTGATGTTCTAAAAATTTGTTTTCATATCTGATTATAAAATTTAAAGCTTAAAAAATAGTGTAGATTGAGATCTATGAACACTTGAAAATATTGAAAATTAAAGGTCTAAAAAATGTATTATAAGATGCACTATTTTCAAGGTTTAAAATCTATTTTTTCTAATGTCCATACATCTTGAGGTCGAGATGATCGATTTGAGAATTTTTTAGGCATAAAAAAAAACCTCTTCTAGTGAATTTTTGAGGTGCTTAATTTGATTATTTAGGTCCTCACTCTTATATAAATTTTTTATTTTATAAATTGTGATGTAGTACATTAAAAGAAGGGAAAATTACAAAAAATCCCAAGACTGCACTTTCTCTGCAGCTTACCCCCAACCTAACTTCTTCTCTCACTTTTTTTCGAAAAATACACTTTCTATTCAAATACCCCCCAACTAAATAAAAAATACCTAAACTACCCTCCCTTACTTTTACTATACCCACACCTCTCTCTCTCCTTTGCGTAAGTGCGCTCCGACAGTGCAACACTCTAGAGTCACAATGCTCTGGC